CAGGTCCTCAATGGTGAATATTTTAACAGTCAGGAACCATCTGTGTGAACGATGGGATGAATGGAATGAACAGACAACCCGGAACACAATGTCTCCCGTGCTTCTACAGTTACGGAGCCATGACATAAACAACTCGATTATTCAAGTAGACTGAGGAGAGCCTTAGGACTAACAACTCTTCAAACAAGACACAATAGGGCATCTCTCACACAGGCATTCAAAATCTTTAAATGGATGGAAAACGTGAACCCGGATCATTTTTTTTACAAATCACGCACCACCAACACCAAGCTATCATCCAGAATTAACACAATGAAATAAATCTTCACTAAGTGGGTGGTAAACCTATGGAAGTCTACCAGCTCGAGGTGTGGAAACGAGAACAGTACTGGACTTCAAAATAGCCCAGGTAAGGTTAGGTTAGGTTAGGTTAGGTAAGGTTAGGTTAGGTTCACGCCTCTTGGGTTACGACGATCCACAGACAAGACGAGGTATAGGTGTGAATAATCATGTATACAGTATAGTGGTAACGAGAGAGAGAGGAGGTGGTGGGGGGGTCACTGTGCACACTTACACAAGCTATCTCTCTCTGACAGGGGGCTGATAACTGTTATCTGCAGCAACACCCGCCATGATGATTGACTGACGGGTCTTAACCTCGCCACACTGACGCCCTTGTCTAGAGTTCAGCGACAGGGTTGAGGTGAGCGAGGCTGTGCGTGTGATGTGACCCCTGGCATGTGGCGCTGAGGGCTGAGTTGTCCCTGCGTGAAGACGACTTGGTTCCCGCCCTCCTGTGGTCCTCCCTCCTTGATGAGGTGCTCTAATACACCTGTGTGATGATGATGATGACTATGAGGTACTCTAATATACCTGTATGATGATGATGATGATGACTATGAGGTACTCTAATAAACCTGTATGATGAAGATGATGATGATGATGATGATGATGATGATGATGATGATGATGATGTTGATGTTGACTATAATAACAGGTGTTGTCATTCGCTCGTGGCCTCCCTCTAGCTCTCACCCCCCCAGCCCATGTGATAATTTACCCCTCCTCCTCCTCCCTCTGTTGACTTCCGGCGCTCGTGTGTATATATAACAAATACCACACAATCAATAACTAGTGTAGTATTAGGCAATGATAACCCAATATTAGTCCGAAGTTACGTTACTGTGGTACATGTAGGGCAAAATATTTCATTGGTTGGTGAGTGAGCGAGTGAGTGAGTGAGTGACTGAGTAAATGATTTATTGAGTGAGTAAGTGAGTGGGTGAGTGAATGATTGACTGATTGGTTGAGTGAGTCAGGATACCACACATCATAACCACAACCTCTGGCAACTGGTTATGTGATGTCTGTCTGTCATCAAGATAACACACACACTCTACTGACTCACTGATAACACACTCTACTGACTCACTGATAACACACACACTCTACTGACTCACTGATAACACACTCTACTGACTCACTGATAACACACTCTACTGACTCACTGATAACACACTCTACTGACTCACTGATAACACACTCTACTGACTCACTGATAACACACTCTCTACTGACTCACTGATAACACACTCTGACTCTACTGACTCACTGATAAATACACTCTACTGACTCACTGATAACGTACTGACTCACTGATAACACACACCTCTACTGACTCACTGATAACACTCTACTGACTCACTGATAACACACTCTACTGACTCACTGATAACACACTTACTGACTCAGTGATAACACACACTCTACTGACTCACTGATAACACACTCTACTGACTCACTGATAACACACACACTCTACTGACTCACTGATAACACACTCTACTGACTCACTGATAACACACTCTACTGACTCACTGATAACACACTCTACTGACTCACTGATAACACACTCTACTGACTCACTGATAACACTATATGCAGTTACATATTACAGTATTCTTTTACCACGGCTCCCACGAACCTCTTATGTTTTATTCATACAACCAACTTATTATTTACGGTTTATATTCAAGAGATCCAATCATTCATTACACAATACTCACACTAAATACTCATAGATTCGTTCATTCTTTACACAATACTCGCACTAAATACTCATAGATTCATTCATTCTTTACATAATACTCACACTAAATACTCATAGATTCATTCATTCATTACACAATACTCACACTAAATACTCATAGATTCATTCATTCATTACACAATACTCACACTAAATACTCATAGATTCATTCATTCTTTACATAATACTCACACTAAATACTCATAAATTCGGTATTATTCACGAATTAATCTCACCAAAACAACTTACGAATTATTCAAAAGTTTCGTGTTCATTCGTTTCCTTAACCCAGTATCGAAATGAACGGTGGATAGAGTCAATTATATAAAAAAGGTTGGATCTAAAAAAAAAAGTTGGATCTAAATAAAAAGTGGATCTAAAAAAAAAGTTGGATCTAATAAAAAAGTTGGTTCTAAAAAAGTTGGATCTAAAAAAAAGTTGTATTTAAAAAAAGTTGTATCTAAATAAAAGTTGGATCTAAAATAAAAGTTGGATCTAAATAGAAATTGATCTAAAAAAAAAGTTGGATCCAAAAAGAAAAGTTGGATCTAAATAAAAGTTGGGTCTAAAGTGAAGAGTTTTGATAATGAAGTAACATTCCTGTACCAGATAATGAGAGTGTACAGTAGGGCTGAGCTTGTTAACACGTGGCCTTCCAAGAACAGGACTGTCACGTAAATTGATGTCATTATGGGCACCTGTGAGTCATTTTGGAGTAATTATGAGCCCCCGAGAGACACCTGGCGTTATGATGAGCACCTGTGAGACACCTGCGTTATTATGAGCACCTGTGAGACACCTGCGTTATTATGAGCACCTGTGAGACACCTGACGTTATTATGAGCACCTGTGAGACACCTGGCATTATTATGAGCACCTGTGAGACATCTGCCGTTATTATGAACACCTGTGAGACACCTGGCATTATTATGAACACCTGTGAGACACCTGTTGTCACCAAGAACACCTGTGGTTATTATGAGCACCTGTGAGACATCTGCCGTTATTATGAACACCTGTGAGACACCTGTTGCCACCATGAACACCTGTGAGACACCTGGCGTTATTATGAACACCTGTTAAACACCTGTTGCCACCATGAACACCTGTGAGACACCTGTTGCCACCATGAACACCTGTGAGACACCTGAGACACCTGTTATATGAACACCTGTTGCCACCATGAACACCTGTGAGACACCTGGCGTTATTATGAACACCTGTGAGACACCTGACGTTATTATGAACACCTGTTAAACACCTGTTGCCACCATGAACACCTGTGAGACACCTGTTGCCACCATGAACACCTGGCGTTATTATGAACACCTGTTAAACACCTGTTGCCACCATGAACACCTGTGAGACACCTGTTGCCACCATGAACACCTGGCTTTATTATGAACACCTGTTAAACACCTGTTGCCATCATGAACACCTGTGCATCACCAAGGGGTCATTTCGAGCACCTGGGGTTATTAGACTGACCTATTAGTCACTTGTGGTCATGATAAGCGACTGTGACTCATTTCAGGTGTGAGTCAGTCATAATATTGTGATCCACTGTACCTAGAGTGTGAATCAGTGTACGATTAGTGTGAGTCAGTTTACAATTAGTGTGATTCATTGTACGAGTAGTGTGATTCATTATACGATTAGTGTGAGTCAGTGTATGATTAGTGTGATTCATCGTACGAGTAGTGTGATTCATTGTACGAGTAGTGTGATTCATTATACGATTAGTGTGAGTCATTGTACGAGTAGTGTGATTCATTATACGATTAGTGTGAGTCAGTGTACGAGTAGTGTGATTCATTGTACGAGTAGAGTGAGTCAGTGTATGATTAGTGTGATTCATTATACGATTAGTGTGAGTCATTGTACGATTAGTGTGATTCATTGTACGAGTAGTGTGATTCATTATACGATTAGTGTGAGTCAGTGTACGAGTAGTGTGATTCATTGTACGAGTAGTGTGATTCATTGTATGAGTAGTGTGATTCATTATACGATTAGTGTGAGTCAGTGTACGAGTAGTGTGATTCATTGTACGATCAGTGTGATTCACTGTACGAGTAGTGTGACTCATTGTACGATTAGTGTGATTCACTGTACGAGTAGTGTGATTCATTGTACGATTAGTGTGATTCATTGTACGAGTAGTGTGATTCATTGTACAATTAGAGATTCACTGTATGATGGCTGCCTCCCACTGTATAATGCACAATACAAACCATTAGTAGACAATCCCCAATAAGTGTCGCTTACGATATTATGACCCCCAGGAGAGATCTTTTGCTATGTCTCATTACATCAGTGTTGAGTATAATGAGGTAAATAGTGATAGTTTTACACATACATACATACTAAGACGCAGACACATACATACACATAAAAAAAAAATAAAAATAACGCTGACACACACACACACACACACACACACACCATCCCCGACACCGGCCCCTACTACCACCTGAGATCCCCTGTCCGAGAATTGCTGTTCGACACCACAACCGCATCCAGCCCATACGTGCACGAACTGATCGCTATAAGAACAGCCCAGTCCCAACCATTGTAAAAATTATCAATAACATGTAATAAATCAGTGTATTCACTCCCAGTAAACACTGCTCCCTACACTGTCACTATGTTGAAATGAACTGTATTTTGAGCTGATCCCCATCTAAGTTACTATATGTCTTATTTGTGTCACTTATGTCACTTGTATATTATTTGTAATTAACCCATTCCCCAAATATGTAACTGTATATTTTCAGCCTTCTGGCTGCTCTAATAAACCGTTAATTATTATTATTACACACACACACACACTGCACGGTCACAGAGAGATAAGAGTAGAGAGGTAGCGCCTGCCAGCCTCACCACGTCGGGCAGATAACTATACCAGTGTTGCTGTGGGAGGTTGACAATCACATTCTTACAAACTTAGGAAAAAAAAACGACTCTCCGTATATAACGATTGTGGGTACTATTTCAACTGGTTCGGGAAGATGTTGCACAATATGGCCTCTAAACCACACTGAGACTCTAATAACTGCGTATATTCTCTCATCTCCAGGAAATATTTCTAAAGTAGAACTGAAAATCATCTACACGTGACAATTTCCTTCCCGCTGCGTCGTCCACTGCGCATCCTATACTGCGCATATCATCAATTACGACTTAGTAACGGGGTATAAAAAGCTGCCGTGTTCGCTGTCACCTTCTTGTTACCCCAACGCTGCTGAGAGGAAGGTCACAATACCGGAAGCTGTCGCCTTTCATCCCTTTAATATAGTGTAGTACAAGACGTGAAGGTCACCTGTACATCAGTGTGTGGCAGGTGTGAAGGTCTTCCTGTGTTCCACCTGACCTTCACTACCACCATGGACCCAGCACACCAGGACCCAGGTGAGTGTTGACCTTATGTAGCAGGTGTGGCACGTTTGGTAGTACATGTGCATTATTCATAACACACACACACACACACACATAGGCAAATGTGTGAATTAAGGTGAATGGTAAAATCGGGCCAAATCCTCGTAAGTCCCCACACACTCCCATCTCTGTGACTTCTGCTCAATGAAGTTAGACGGAGGACAGTATGGTACAGTGGGTCTTCAATATCAAAAATTTATAATCTACTGTATCTACGCTGGGAACTTTAACAATATTGCTGGATTTAGTTTTAAAAATCATGTTGTGTTCAGTTTCCAAAGACAAAGTATATTGTTATAGAATCCTTACTAGTTGTTATAAAATATTAATATCTTACAAAATAATTATACTACTACTACAACTCATAATAATAATAATATTAGTAATAATAATAATAATAAAAATATATTAACTACTACTACTACAACTCATAATAATAATAATAATAATAATAATATTAGTAATAATAATAATAATAAAAATAAATTAACTACTACTACTACTACTACTACTAGTAATAATAATAATAGACATCACATGTACTACCGGATTACCTTAAACACACACACATAACAGCATATTTTTTTACAGCCCTGCTGGAGGCAACATCCAAGTCATGTGCAGCTGGTACTAAAAACGACAGCAGCGACAGCGATAGCAGCAGTAGCAGCAGCAGCAGCAGCAGCAGCAGTAGCTCAGACGGGGGCGGACATCACAAGAAGAAGAAGAAGAAGAAGAAGAAGAAGGACGACCATCACCACCACCATCACCACGACCATCACCATCACCACCACTAGTACCTGTGTCGTGTAAGCCTCCCCTCCCAGGAGAGTCTAACAGGAGTTATATTTCTTAATGGGCACCTTCAAGAGACCTTTGGTGGACACGTTTAAGGACGACCTCTTGAATGAACACGTCAAAGATTCACTTAATGATACATCCTGAAGGAGAACTGTTTAAGGCGACACTCGGAAGTAATCCATCAAGGGACACACACACACACACACACACACACACACACACACACACACACACACGTCTTGTAACTGTAATGCTAATAAATAAATGTAGACTCGGTCATCAACACTCTAGTCTCTGCTTCTGACTGAGGTATTATTTTACTGTCAGACAACACGGGGAGTTTTAGGAATTTTATCTTGACGATCAATAGTTTAGGCGATTCTAAGACTCTTTACTTCTGTGATTATTTCCCTCGTAAACGACTTTTATATGCCGGGGGGGTCCGGGGGCGGAGCTCGCCAGTTAGGAGGATAAGTTAAGTGATTTTTAGGTCATTTGCGAAGGAAACGTCATAGAAGAAACGTGTCTTAGAATTGTCTACTCTATTGATTGCAAAGTTAACCTCCTAACATTCCCGTGTTGTCCGACATATAAACTTTACACTGATTTATCACCCATATAATCGATGTTTGTTGATTTCTTTATGTAGTGTACTTGATACTTATAAATACATAATAATAATGACTATATATTGTCTTTTATATACCTTATAGTTTATTGTATTCAGATATATAATATATATCACATCTGACCCGTTTTAAAACTTACTCACCTTAAACACATTATAGATAAAACACATCAATATTATCACACTTAACCAATAACCCATATGTTTTTATTTGTTTTAATTAAGTATTCAAATGACTCAAGTAATACATGGACACCCTGTATGTCTATATCTAATATATGTATAGGTAGGTTAGGTTAGGTCACCACAGTCGTCCTGCTAACAACCTCACCTGATGCAACACCTATGATCCCAGTGACACGTTTAATTATCACTGCCGGTAATAGGTGTTGTTTGTGTCAGCACAGAGAAGACTTATAAGAGATGTGTGAAGTGTTAATGACTAGATTGTTATAACATTGTGACCTTGACCTTTAACCTTCATACTAAAACACCGCAGCGCTAGTGGTTGTCATGGTGAATATTGCGAATATACATACATACATACATACATACATGCATACATACATACATACATACATACATACATACATACATACATACATATTAATGTTTGCCCCTCATGTAACGAGGATGGCCGGCCTAAGGACCACCTCGGCGTGAATTTGTTTAAGGTGTAGAAGCTGTCGCCAACACCACAACCACACCCTGAGTTAACGAGCTGCATGACCCAGTGACAAGGAGTAGACCGAGAAGACCGGACAACTCGCCAACTTCACTGGCTAACCATTACCCCAGAACAGGATCCGCAAATCGATTAACATCCAGGTCCCCAATTACTGCTGGGTAGACAGACAGACATACATACATACAGTCAGTCAATATAGAGGACCACCCGATCCTTATCACCATCAACTTATTTCATCCAATTTAAACAGCTGAATCTCATGTAAATAAACCAACAAACATCAAAACCCGCTTTCTAAAATAGTCGATCGATATATTTTCACCGTAAGTAAGAAACAACAACAGGAGAGAGACACCCACGACAGAGTTTCATTATCCACTTCATATAAAATTCTACTGAAAAACCCAAACATAAACATCCTTCTCCTTCCTGTTAAATTCTGAGCTGAATCAATTAAACTTAAAATACCGAATACACAATAAAGTCACAAATACGTTAATATTGTTTGTTATCTATATGGCATTATTTTACCCTTACTATTCATTTAACCATTATTATTATTATTATTATTATTATTATTATTATTATTACTATTTTCATCATCATCATCATCAACATCTAGGCGTCACACAGGTCGTCCTACGCCCCCAGGTGACAGGTGTTCTAGGTACACTACTTGCCAATGACTGGTTGATAACAGGTATCGGACTATCACCTGAGTGCCCCTCGACACACACCGGTCAAGTGCTGTACTGGTTGTTCATCTTCCTGTAGCGAGGTAGGGAAGGTTACCTGAAGCTTAGGTTACCTGATGATTTGACACCCTAACCTAATCTAACCTAACATAACCTAACATAACCTAACCTTAACATAATCCAACATTCTAACCTAATCTAACCTAACATAACCTAACCTTAACATAATCCAACATTCTAACCTAATCTAACCTAACATAACCTAACCTTAACATAATCCAACATTCTAACCTAATCTAACCTAACATAACCTAACCTTAACATAATCCAACATTCTAACCTAATCTAACCTAACCTTAACATAATCCAACATTCTAACCTAATCTAACCTAACATAACCTAACTTTAACATAATCCAACATTCTAACCTAATCTAACCTAACATAACCTAACCTTAACATAATCCAACATTCTAACCTAATCTAACCCAACAATCTCACCTAATTGAAACTAATCTGACATTCTAACCAAACCTAACCTAACTTAATCTAACCTAACCTTACCTTATCTAACCCAATCAAACAGTCTAACCTAACTTAATCTAACATAACTTAAACTAACATTCTAACCTAACTTAACCTAACCTAATCCATCCCCCCAGGTAGCGTTAGGGTGTTTAATCGTCAGGTGATATGAGCTGGGTTGATTAATCTTCAGGTGACCCCGGACAGGTAAGAACATAAGAACATAAGAAAGTGGGATACTGCAGGAGGCCGACTGGCCCATACAGGGCAGATCCCTTTCACACCCATCCCAGCACTTCCATGTGCCTATCCAACTTCGTCTTGAAGCTCCCTAGCGTCCCCGATCTTACTATAGCACTCGGTAGTCTATTCCACATATCCACAACTCTATTACCAAACCAGTGCTTGCCTATATCCTTTCTGAATCGGAATTTATCTAATTTAAAGCCATTTGTTCTAGTTATTTCGTTATTACTGAGCTTCAGAACATCTTCCATTTTACCCTTGTTAATCCCACTTACCCACTTGTACACCTCTATCATATCTCCCCTAACTCTACGCCTCTCTAATGAATGTAAGCCTAAGCTTTTCAGTCTTTCTTCATATGGAAGGTTTCTAATATTATGGATCATTTTTGTCATTCTTCTTTGTACTCTCTCCAAAGAATCTATGTCCATTCTATAATAAGGACACCAGAACTGAACCGCATAATCCATGTGTGGCCTCACTAATGCTAGGTAAAGTTTCAAGATAACGTCAGCAGTTCTGTTACTCACAGACCCAGATATGAACCCAAGAATCCTGTTTGCCTTGTTGCGAACGCTAATACATTGTTTTCAGGTTTCAAGTCGTTGCTAACAAATACACCTAGATCTTTTTCACAAACTGAGTTTTCTATTTCCGTGTTACCTAGTTTATACTTAACGTTTGTATTCGTCTTCCCTATCTGTAGTACCTTGCATTTATCAGTATTAAAATTCATTTGCCAGTCTACTGACCACTCATGTAAGGTATCTAGATCTCTTTGAAGGTGTTCAAAGTCACTGTCTGAATTTATCATTCTAACTGTCTGAATTTATCATTCTAAGGTCACCTGTCCTCGTGGATGGTTGTATCTTATCTGTTATCTCTTCTTCCTGTGTCTTTAGTTGATTTACTCTCTCTCTCTCTCTCTCTTTCTTTCGGTAATTTAGGAAGCGCTAATTATTTTCATTAAAGGTGAATAAACCGCAAAAATTAACGATAAATTTACACACACACACACACACACACACACACACACACACACACACACACACACACACAGATAAGCACATGAGCATAGTCACACGCAGACACACACACATGCCTAACCACACGTACACACATTAACACTCACAAGGTGAGGGGCATCATGGAGAACAACGTACAAGGACACGCACGTAGCCGTAAGTTCACGCGCGTACATACATTCATAAATTAATTGACACATTCACGTATATACATATATTACTACACACATTCACGTACGTACATAAGAACATAAGAATGGAGGAAACTGCAGCGGGCCTATTGACCCATACTGGGCAGTCCCGTTTACACCCAACCCCTATTGCTCATATAAGCATCCAACCTATGTTTGAAGCTATTCAGCGTATTCGAGTTAATGATGATATTTGGTAACTTGTTCCATTCATCCACTACTCTGTTTCTAAACCAGTGTTTACCTATTTCACGCCTAAATCTAAATTTGTCTAATTTAAAACCATTGTTACGAGTTCGCTCCTGGTTGGATAATTTGAGTACCTTTGTAATGTCCGTACACAGATTATTAGACACATTTCACGTACTGTATATACATGAATAATGGACATAAATGAATAACGGACATACATACATACACATGACCAGGCACACATTCCTATTATACATATGTACTGATTTACACACCTACAGACATAATCGTGGGTAACCGTTAACACACATATTATCCACATATAAAGGGATTTAAAACAGAGTAATGTAAGTAAATATGGACATGATAACACATATACACACACACACACACACACACACACACACACACACACACACACACACACACAACATAATCCGTGTAGCTTTAAACCTGGCTGAGTTAATCCAGTTTCCATAGACCCTCCAGTCCTTTAATTAACCTGAAGACCACCACTATCACCACCACTCACCATCATCACCACCAATCACCACCACTCAAAATTACCATGACCATTCACCATCTCAACTGCCATCACCTTCACAACCATCACCACCACTTACCACCACCACCATTTACCACCACCACCATCACCACCACTCACCATCATCACTCACCATCCCCACCCTGTCACCATCCCCATGTTATCTGTCACCAACTTGAGTAAGGAAGACCTCTATGGCATTAACTTTTATAGAGTTAACCAGACCTCTTGGTTCACTCAACAACAATAATACAACCAGTGAAAAATATCATCAATGGGATCTTGATTACGATATATTTCAGGGTTTATAAGTGCGGTATATTTAATGGTTTAAAAGTGCGATATATTTTCTGGTTTATATACGCGGTATATTTCCTGGTTCGTAAGTAAGATATATTTCACGATTTAAAAGTGTAATATATTTCATAGTTTATAAGATATATTTCAGTGTTATATTAAAGGGTGTTTTTTGCGCCTTGGAAATAATATGTAATGATAAGCAGCGTTAGTGTATCAGATATAAACTCATCATGTATATGTGTGACCCATAAGGTAGATGCCAAGTTCTTCCTCTTTCTGGGCCCCAAGACCAAGTTCCCCCCTCCTCCTGGGCCCCAACACCAAGTTCCTCCTCTTTCTAGGTCCCAAGACCAAGTTCCCCCTCTCTTTCTGGGCCCCAACACCAAGTTCCCCCTCTCTTTCTGGGCCCCAACACCAAATTCCCCCCTCCTCCTGGGCCCCAACACCAAGTTCCCCCTCTCTTTCTGGGCCCCAACGCCAAGATCCCCCTCCCCCCATCTCTTTCTGAGCCCCAAGATCGTCAACGTTATGATCACCACCAAATCAATCACCGTCACTAAACAAAACAAACTTAGCTATTAAGACAGATCTCCTGAGTCTTCAACTTCCTGTGCTTCAACTCAGGGACAAACTTCACACATCTTACTGTCGCCTAT